CTGCGCCCCTGTGCACCCCTGTTTGGCTCCCCGCCGCCCAATCCACCCAGGCAGGCCCTCCATGCGCTTAGGGTGACCTGGGGTCTGTGGTGGATGGAGTGTACCTGCTCCTGGGCCTTGTGCCCAAGCCCCTGTGCCAGCTTCTGGCGGCGCCCCAGGTCAGCCTCTGCCGGGGCTGCACAATCTCCATGCAGCTCCAGCTCCAGCACCCGGCTCTCCAGCCGCAGGACCTGCAGGGTGGCCAGGGTGAGCAGGTGCGCCTGCCTGCCAGGACACCCGGGGCAGGTCAACATCATCTGGACCCATGCAGGGCACCACAGCACACGCGGGAGAGGTGGAGACACAGGCACCCCGTGAGTGTGTACAATCACATGGGGTGCCCCCGGACCCCTCCCAGCACTGGTCCTTGGTATGCACCCTCCTCCTGTGTGTTCAGGGCACATGTGGGCACACATCAGCACCCACCTCACTCTTCAGCTCGAAGAGTTCAGCCTCGTGTTGCTCCCGCAAGTGATGCGTTGTGATCTGCAGGTCAACCAACTCCTTGGAGATCTGTGGGTGGCCAGAGTAAGAGGTGGGGTCTGTGGGACCCCTCCTTGCTAGCACCCCAGGGCCCCACACCAACCTGCAGCCGCTGCTCCTCACTCAGTTGTAGATCTGAGGGAAGCTCTGTCTTGAGGCTGGTTGTCCAGTCCTCGGCCTGCCGCAGAACCTGGGGAGGAACCGCCCACCCGCACCCCCCAGGTGGGTCTCAGGCCTGGGCTGTGGCCTCCACTCCCATGGAGCCACCAGCCATGCACTCTTCCTCCCTAATATCCCCTACACACATACACACACACACACACACACACACACACACACACACACACCCCACAGCCTGAATGAACTAGGCAGTTTCTCCCATGGCCAGGATCAAATCCAGGACATGGCTACCGGCACCCTTCCTGGCCTTTGAGGTGATGGGGAGGCACCCTGACCCCATGACAGAAGCAGGAGTGTCCTGGAAGGACTCACATTCTCAGTGGCCCAGGGTGGGGGCTCCGGCCTGCCGCCTGGGGCTGCCGCATGCTCCATAAGCAAAAGGAAGTCTGGCCCAAGTGCAGTGCCACCTTGCCTACTGGCCTGTTGCTGCAACACAGAGGCTGGGGGCGTTGCTAAGGCCTCTGTTGGTCTCCTGCTGGTCCCCGGTCTCTGAGGGCCCCACCCACGAGGGCAGTCGGGAAGGGGAAGTTCGGTGGTGGCTGAGGAGGTGGGGAGGGGGCCTCTCTCAGCTCCTTCCATGGTCCATCCTTTTTGGTGTCCGTTTTCTCCTCTCCGAAATGCAGACCAGCACCGCTGCATTTATCCCGGGCGCAGATGGAACCAGGAGTGCATGAGAGCGCCCAGCCTGGGAAGGTGTGAGACAGAGTGACCGCTGCTGTTACCGTTTTTCTCTCGCAGAGTGCCCTGCTCTACCGTGGGGGTTCACACACTCAGCAGGCGCCCCCTGTGTGCCTGCTGTTTCTGGTCGGACGCTGGGATGGGCAGGCGAACAAACTGCAGATTCTCCCACCACCAGCCCGAGGGAAGGGGACGCAGACATTCCAGTTAAGGGCTGGGGGTCTCAAGAGGACTGGCTCAGCTCCCGAGCCCGGAAGGCTTCGCGGAGGACGCACTGCAGCGCCCCGCGTGGCGGGGCCGAACGTGCGTGGGGCCCCCACCGGGCACGCGCGCGCCCCCGCCTGCGCACGCTTGCTCCCTGCGCCGGGGCGCGGGCCGTTGGCGGCGGCCAGGCGGAGCGCCGCGCTCCGCTCGGGCCCTGTGGATAGTGCCCTGGGCCCATCTCTGTCCCGCTGTCTCTCAAGCGGTCCGCGCAGTCGGGGGGTGCAGCCCTTGCGGGTAAGGGGAACATTTCGGGACCCGTGTCGCGCCGTGACGGGAGGGGGGGCCTGAGGGGCGGGGCGGGCCCGGAGAGGGGCGGGGCCTTGACGAGGGGCGTGGCTTAGGCAGAGCGCTGAGCGGCACGGGAGGGCGTGGCTCAAGGGGAAGGCGGAGTGAGTGGGGCGGGGCTGGGGAGGTCGGGTCGTCGCGAGGGGCGTGGCCTGAGCGTGGAACGGGCGGTTCGGTCGCGGGGACCGGGCCCGCGGCGGGGGGCGGGGCCTGCGCAGCGGGCGGCGGCGGCGTTGGCGTCGCTGGGGGCTGGCCTCCGCACTTGGCCGGACCGCCTGAGCTTGGGGCGTTGGCTTCCGCACCGGTCCTCCGGGAAGTCCACGGAGCAGGGGGCGGGCTCCCTTTCTGGCCCCTGAAGTGTGTGTGGAGCTGACCCCTCCCTCGCCCAGCCCTGCTTTGAGGGAAGCCCCCGCCCAGGGGAAGGGGCTCAGAAGCGGGGGGCCTCTCAAGGAGAAGACGCGGGGTGCCTGGACTTTGCGACCATGAAGGTCAAGGTCATCCCTGTGCTCGAGGATAACTACATGTACCTGGTCATCGAGGAGCACACGCGGGAGGCTGTGGCCGTGGACGTGGCCGTGCCCAAGAGGGTGAGGGCAACCTGTGGGCGGCGGGGGGCGCCGCTGCGGGCCTAGGCAACTTGGCCCCCGAGGGTCCCCCCACCACCCCAACCACCCTGGTTGGAGCAGGCCTTTCCCCTATTCTCTAATCTTGAGTCTGCCCTCAAGTTAGGACCACGTCACCTCCGTTTTCCCCGTTCCCTGGTGCCTAACTGTTCTGTACGCACGGGGCGCTCAGATATCGTCTGCTGGGTCTCCCCTACCCCTACCCGCTCCTGGCCTGCCCGGCAGTCTGTGTACATCACACCTGGCGCCCTAGCGTGGGTGGGGGCCGGCCACCTGGCCCGGCCGGATCTCCCTAACTCCCATCCCTTTCAGCTGCTGGAGATCGTGGGCCGGGAGGGGGTGTCACTGACCACTGTGCTGACCACCCACCACCACTGGTGAGCGCGGTCGGGGCGGGCCGAGGCGCGAGGGCATCGCCCCTGCCCCACCCCGACCCGCCTGTGATCCTGCTTCCGCCCCGTCCGCAGGGACCATGCGCGGGGTAACGCGGAGCTGGCGCGGCTGCGGCCGGGGCTGGCTGTGCTGGGCGCGGACGAGCGCATCTGCGCGCTGACCCGCAGGCTGGTGCACGGCGAGGAGCTGCGGGTGAGCACCGGTCCGGGGGCGGGGTGGGGGGTGGGAATGGCGCCGCGGGCCCTCCCGCGTCACCAGCCGCTTGCCCCTCTGCGGCAGTTTGGGGCCATCCATGTGCGCTGTCTCCTGACGCCGGGCCACACCTCCGGCCACATGAGCTACTTCCTATGGGAAGAGGACTGTCCTGATCCGCCGGCGGTGTTCTCGGGTACTGGTCGCCCCACCCCACCAGCCCCACCTCCCTCTGACCCCGCCCCACCTTCCCTGACCTGCTCTCCTCCTCCCCAGGGGATGCGCTGTCGGTGGGTGGCTGCGGCTTGCGCCTGGAGAGCACAGCTCAGCAAATGTATCAGAGCTTGGTCGAGACCCTGGGTACGCTGCCGCCGGAGACGGTGAGCCGGCATCCCTTGCCTTCCTGTAGGGTCCAGACTCCCTGCACAACCTCCACACTCTGTACCTGCCTTGTGCCAGGGATACAGAGTGAACCTTAGCCAAGGAGTCCAGGCAGATCAGGCCTGGGGTTCTGGGGTCCAGGGAGGGTCCAGGCCAGCCCCAGTGAGCGCCTTCCCCCATCACTGCCTGTGGCAGCACTGTGCACCCTCTGAGTGCCTCCTTTCTCCAGAAGGTGTTCTGTGGCCACGAGCACACGCTGGGCAACCTTGAGTTTGCACAGAAAGTGGAGCCCGGCAATGACCACGTGAGGGCCAAGCTGTCATGGGCCAAGGTGCGGCCACTCCTCTGAATGGCGAGGTTTGGAGGGTGGATGAAGATTGGGACGGAGGAGGGGCGCTGCAGGGGGAGTCAGGCATGACTGGCCTGGAGTGATCAGACCTGGCTTAGCCTTGAGTATCCTGCTGACTGAGGCTCCTATTGGTGAGGGGAGGGATTGGTGGCCTCGGACAAAGGGCTGGGCAGCTGGCAGGACTGACCCAAGGGTGACTGCCCTCAAGTACTAGATGGGGCGAGGCAGTCCTTCTTCTGCTCCTGCCCCCAGGAAGGGGCGGGGCTGAGTGGAGCGGAGTTGTCTGGGGCTCTCAAGACAAGGCTGTGACAAGGGCCTGTGGTCATTCCAGAAGAGGGATGAGGACGACATGCCCACAGTGCCATCCACCCTGGGCGAGGAGCTCCTCTACAACCCCTTCCTAAGGGTGGCGTGAGTACTGGTCGGCATCCCAGGCCTTCTTGTGGGGGCCCCATGCCCACTCCAGGGGCTGTCCCACCGAGCAGGCCGCCTGAGGGTCGGCCTGCTGGCCTCGAGCCCGACTCGGCAGCCACTTGGGCTCTGCAGGAGGTGCCAGGGAACTGGTTATTGGGCTGACTTGCACCAGGGAGAGGCTGCTCATTAAGTGTCCTCTGCCAGCACCCACCCGGCAGTGTCCCCAGGGAGAGTCCCCACGGCGCCCCCTCTCCCCGCAGAGAAGAGCCTGTGTGCAAGTTCACGGGGAAGGCGGCCCCGGCCGAGGTCCTGGAGGCACTCTGCAGGGAGCGGGCAAGCTTCGAGCGGGCGGCTGAGTCCCTGCAGCCGCAGGCCCGGGCTCTCCTGGCACTGCAGTGGGGGCCCTGAGCACACCCCAACAGAAGTGAGCCCCAAGTGGACCCACCGTGCGGCCCGGCAGCACATCTCTTCTCCTTCAACCCTCGGCACATTGAGCCCACAGGAGGGTTGCGTCTGGAACCTTCCATGGCCCCACCCAGCTGGCTGTCTGGCTTTGGAGGGTAGGCACCCTGGCAGGGGACATATGAGGCCCCTCTCTGGGGTGCATGTGAGCCCTGAGACCTGGGTGTTTGGGAAGCAGCCTAGCGGGGTGCACGGGGCTCTTGAACTTTGAATAAAGCTTTAAAAGACTTCTTTTTTGATGCTGGTGGATGCTCTCGGAGAGAAACCATCGGGAGAGAGATCCCTTTATTAGACTTGGAACTTGGTAAGGAAAGGCCTGTGGGTTCAGCCTGATCTGTGCTCTCCCCCACTCCTGTAAGTGGAGAAGGGACTTCGTGCCTAGTCTCAGCGGCCTCTCTCACAGACCCTGCTTCCCATCTGGAATTCTGCCCAGAGAACGCAAGCTGTCAGGTCCCAGAGGCCATGCCTGGCATCATCAGGGCCCGGTCCCAGGTGGGGCAGGTGCTGCACCCCTGTCGCAGGGGGTGTCGCAGGCTGGGCGCCCTTCTCCTGCCAGCATTCTACGCCATCCAGCGCAGTAGGGTTCCTCACACTGGGCTCCAAGTTTGACTGGCCCGGCAGGCGCTGCCCATCACTGTCCTTCACAGCCTGGCTTCAGTGGGAGCCTGGCTCCTGCTTTTGTTCTGCCTTGTGCAGCCCACGGGACCGGCTGAAACCCCCACACACTTGGGCCACAAGGCAGGAGTGGCCAGCACCCTGCTCGCAGAGCTGGGCCTGTGGGGAGGTTCCGGGACCTTGTGGACCATCTGACCTCCTGCAGTGGGCAGGCAGGACGAGCACACCTGTCCTGGCTACGGGTTCTGAGGCTCGTTTCTGTACGGGCTCCGGCACATCCCCACAGCTGACGTCCGCGTTTCGGGGGTGGTCCCCGGGGTCTCGGGACACGACCTCCCCGGGAGTCCGGGTGCGGGCTGTGGCGGGCCTAGAAGGCTGGCGCGGAGGCCTCCTACCACCTGATGCCGAGGCTGGAGCTGGCCTTCTCCACCGCGTGGTAGCTTGTGTGCAGCAGGCGGCCAGCGCGCTCCGAGCCCTCGCCCTGCAGCCAGCACCGGTACAGTTCCTGGATGCCAGGTGCATCCTCCGGCGCCTCTGTCCTGACCATGCTATACAGCGTCTCCACGCGCTGGAGAAGCTCCTTGCCTGGCGTGTTGGGGGCCTTGAGCTGGCCTCCGCCGTTCAAGCAGCCTGTAGCAGATGTGAGCACACGGTGAGCTCACAGGTGCACACAGGTGAGCGCACGGTGACAGGGAGGATGCCTATACCGGGGAGTGGGGGAGGGGGGTTGGGAAGCACAGCACGACCCCTTCCCAAGACCCCTTCCCATCACCGGCCCTCCTGAGCCTCCTGACCCCCGGGCTCCGCCTCCACCCCTTCTGCCCTGGTGAGACACTGCCCACAGCCCTGGCCCTGGAAAGGGCCCCCGTGCCCTCTGGGAGAAGCGGGCCCCACCCCAGCTACCTGCGGGGCAGGCCATGACCTCCACATAATGGTACGGGCAGCGCCCTCGCTTGAGCTTCTGCACCAGGTTCTGGATGTTGCGGAAGCCATAGGCCGCGGCAAAGTGCAGCACGATTTGGCCCTCCTTTTCCAGGGTCACCTCCTGAAAGTCCTTGTTCCTGGGGGGAGCACAGGCCAGGCTCCCTCGGTACCCGCCCCTGCAGGCACGTCTGCCACCTAACCGGCTCCTCGGTGGAGGACGTGGAGGACAGGGATGCAAGGACAGGGTAGAAAGCTCGCTTCCGCCTTTAGGCGGGGGCCTCAGTGTCCTGATCCTCCCTCCCAAGAATGGCAGTGAGGCGTGGCGAGGTCGCACAAAGCCCCCGGCCCTCCCTCCCTCCGTGGAAGGGAGCATTGTGTCGGGACACACCCTGTGCCAGGCGCGCCACCGCGGCCTTGGGGCTCCCACCCCCTGGGGTGTGGGCAGGGACGCGGACCGCTGGGTGGGGAGGCCGGTTCACGTGAGCGGGAGAGGAGGGCTGGTGCCCTGCGTCTTCCCCCACCCCAGCCTGCTGCCCTGTCCCCATGCTCCAGCCCTTCCCACTGACCTCAGGGGTCTGTAGGTGATCTCGTCCACGTGGATTCCAAAGAGCTCCCGGGCTGCGTGCTGGAACACGTGCTCCAGGTAGCCCCCGGAGCCCCCGCCCCGATGGCTGCTGGGCTCCTGGGCAGACACACTGCTGCACCTGGGGAGCAGAGCATGGCCTCGGTGGCAGCGGGAGTTTTCGGGTGACCTTTTGTCTCTCCCATGTGAGGGAGCGGCTTGCTAGATGGGAGAGGAGTCCAGAACCCCCAGGGCCTTTGTCTGCGTGTCAAGAGGAAGCTCAGGTGGGAGAAATCGTTCCTCTGTTGAGTCACCTATTTGGGGAGCTCAGACGTGTGTCAAGTTTGGGACAGCTCTGATGACCATCAGTGCACTGTCCGTTGGCCAGGTCATGAACTTGACCACCTCTGTGTGCACTGAGACCGGCGACAGGGCGGACGCGGACCTGGCTAGGAGGAAGTCACGGTGGAGAAGAGGAAGGGAGGGGACGCAGAGCTGAGGTCCATCTGGGGACCGTCTACCCCCACGCCCTCTGCGGCGTGCCTCCCAGCGCGCCTGCAACCCCCCAACCCACACGTCGAGCTCCCCGACGCTGGATTCACGTTCTCCCCTCTGCTGCAGTGGGTGGTGACTTACAGACTGTCCAGGGGGGCTGGCTCCAGTTCCGAGAGTGAGACCCCTTCTTCTTCCAGCAGCTTGAAGACTTCTCCTAGGGTAAGACCCCAGCACAGGGGCGCTTCAGCTGAGATCTCAATCAAAACAGAACGCTGAGGAAACCCGCGTCCTCTGCATCCCTGGCAACCTGTACCTTAGCTCCAGAGACCCGGATGTCCACCTCCTGGCTTATGGGTGGAGGGTCAACCTGGCCACTGAGGCGAGGAAGGACTCCACTTCTGAGGACCCTCAGAAGAGCCAGCCAGCTCCCCAGACCCGCAGCCCACCCTCCACCCTCCCAGCAGCGTGGCGGGGGGGGGGTGGATATACCCATCCCCGGACCCGCCGCAGTGTGGTCGTGGCTCCCCATGAGGTGGAGAGGGGCATGTGTTCATGCAGGGGGGCCCCCTCCCCACCCCACTGTCTGGGTTCCTGAGCATTTTCTTTTCTGTATTTTAAGCACTTGGGAGACTGTGAGGCTGCTCAATTCAAAAATGGGGTGACTGGCCCATGTGAGTCAGAGTGGATGACGAGAATCCCCACCCGTCTCTTCACGCAGACTGTTTTAGAGCAAACACCCGGCCCTTTGGCCACACGTCCCCCAAGACAATGGAACAGCTGTGAGGTCTGATCTGGCCCCCAGGGGAGGGCCACCGGCTGCCTCATGCATAGGGGCTGGCAGCTCCAGCCAGAGCCTGCAGGCAGGGCCCGGGCAATACCACTACGTGGGACCCACACCTGTGGTGACAACACAATCCACATCACGAGTCTGGTAGTCCTGGCTGAAAAAGTCTGGTCTGGAAGCTTCCAGCTTTTTGTCATAGCAGGGCATGACCGTCACGTGGTAGATCCTGTCCGGGGTCAAATGCTGCAGGGAAATGTGGAAATGTGAAGTCGCTGCCTGACCTGATAGTAAAGGAGCCCGCAGGATAAGGTGGGGGGGTGACACCACAGGCGCGGCCTGGGACACAGCCGGCCAGCGGCCAGGATGGGACCGAGATGCCTCGTGTGGCCATGTGGACATCGGAGGTCTTGGCTCATCTTTGTGAACAATGGCAGTGAATCGTTCACAGCTGGAATATTCTTGTTACCTGCTGCTGGGCAAAGAAGTCCTTGACCAGGGAGCCCATGACCTGCTGTGGGGACCGAACAGTGCTGAGGTAGGGGATGAGGAAGCTTCCGTGCGTCTTCTCCGCGTAGCAGATCCAGCCTGAGGCCGACACGGGGAACAAACGGGGTGTCTGAGCAGCTGGGCAGGGAGTGGCATGACCTTCTGGGGTGCACCGGCTTGTAGGGGGAGTTTTGGTCCCGTTAAAGAACGTGCCTACTCTGCTGTCACTGCCGTGTGCTTCTAGCATCTGTGAGATCACAGTCTTGGGGAACTCGGTGACCCCAGGTGGCTCTCAGGGCAGCTCCTTCTGCCGAGGCGGCCACGGTGGCAGAAGCCTCGTGTGGCCCCACCCAGCGTTCCTGTCCCCCGTGTCCCGCAGCGTGAACACACCTGGGCAGGCGGACGCAAGCACAGGCAAGGCCTGCTGGGAGTCGGCCTGTCCTCGGAATCTCTGCACAAACTCTCGCTGGCTCTCGAGGAGACTGAAGTTCCTCGAGAAGGAGGTATCGAACACGTAGTGCACCCCTGCAACACAAGCACCCGCCTCACCGCCACGAAGCGTGGCTACATCGCAAGGCCCCGATCACGCCCCTGGGAGCGGGGACGCCACTTTCCAGGGGCACTTCAGCTGTCTGCACAGCGGCTGTCCGGGCCAGGCCACACCTCTTGTGCCCGCCCCATGTCCTCCCAGGCCTGCTCCTGGCTCACAGAGATCGACCAAAGTCTTTGGGAGCCAGAGCGTGACAGGGGACCAGGGAAATGGGCCTCGAGGGTGATAGTTTAAAAACAATAAGGGGGGAGCAAATTCCAGAGAATTCCAGGAATTCCAGGAATTCCAGACTGGAGGAGGACAGCCACGATTCAGATGGCTGCCTCTTAAAAGGCTCAGCTCTCATTTGTCAAACCCAAACTTCATACTGAAGTCAACTCAGAACAGTTTCTGGTGCGTTTGAGTTCAGTGAGTCAGAGGCCGGAGGAGCCCCTCGCTGGACCCCACACACGCTGAGCTCAGCACGCACGCGAGGTCTGCTGCCTACCGATTTTCTTAAAGAATGCAGTCAGCTTCCTGGCAGTGTCTGTAGGGTTCAGCCCGAACTGTGCAGCCAGCGATGCCCTGGACTGGGGCGAGACGGACACGACAACCAGCCTCTGCTGACCGGGGGCCGCCGTCTGCAAAGCAGAGGACACATGCTCACTCGCTGTGTTGTACAGACTCCCAGGGGGCCAGCGCTGGGGGAGTGCGTGCTGCCTCCGGCAGGGCGTGTCACTTCCACGTACACGCAGGGCCCCACACCCCGGTGTGAAATCCTGACCAGCAATTCACGGGCATCCTGCCGACGACACCTACAAGAGGCAGGAGGCACCAGATGGGCTGCCCTTGGCAGCAAGAGCAAAGGACACTGGGGCGACATCAGGTTAAAAAAGTCTCAAAGACGCCCCCCACTTACCTTATTGGCATCTATAACCTTCCGCAGCTCCTCGTGGCTTTGCTGAGTGATGAGCACGGTCTCTGCCGAGGTGACACAGCCACTGCATGCCAGGCAGTCATCCAGCGAGATCTTGGCCTTCTCCAGCTTCCGGGTCCCTCCATCCTGGAAAGCACAAGCACTCGGGACTCAGAGGGCCTCTACGCAAGGACACGAGCACTCAGCATAATGGAACCTGCAGGAAGCCTTTATTCTCTGGCTCACAACACCGACAACCAATGTGGTAGGAGGCTGGCTTTGTGTGCCACTCAATTTTTAAAAATTAAATATTGGTTGGGGTGCCTGGGTGGCTCAGTCTGTGAAGTGTCCAACTTTGGCTCAGGTCAGGACCTCACGGTTTGTGGGTTCAAGCCCCTCATCAGACTCCGTGCTGACAGTTAAGAGCCTGGAGCTTGCTTCAGATTCTGTGTCTCCTTCTCTCTCTGCCCCTCCCCTTCTCAAGTTCGCTCTCTCTCTCAAAAATAAACATAAAAAAATAAAAAGAGAGTGTCAGACGCTTAACCAACTGAGCCACCCAGGGGGTCCTTAACTGGAAAATCTTACAGAATTAGAACTCGCGGTGGCGGTGGGGGAGAGGGAAGGGAAGACAGGAACCACCATCTGCAAAAAGAGCCCCCCCCCCCCCCACAGCTCCATGTTCTGCCTCTGTGCCCCTCCACCACCACCCCAGGCACCATCTCTGCCCTCCGAGCCGTGACGACAGTGAATCTGACCACTCTGATGACAGCGAAAGGTCCCATGATCTCCGTACCTGTGACTGGACGGAGCAGCAAAAACAGGTGTTTGGTCATCTGGGCTGGAACTTACCTGAGTGACCTGGAAGTAACTGCCATCGTCTTCGATGTGGATCTTGGCCACGCCGCTTCCCAACCTCTTATCCACCTTCATGGGCTTGATGCAATCCTGTACCAGGAAGAGGCCCCAAGTGGGGGCCCAAGTGTGTGGAGGTTACCGAAGAGGAGGGGACCACCACATGGGACAGGGGCGCTGCCCGACTCTCTTCCTGCCACAGCAGCAGTCATGGCAATACAGTTGTCACCCTGCTTGCACAGGGGCACACGTTCTAACCCCTGCCAGCACTGAGGCCTACTCTGCAGCTCAGTCAGGGGAAGGCGGACTTAGCTGGGCCTACACACTAAGGCACCTGCGGGCACCACCAGCCCTGACCTTTACTCTGTTCAGCACAAACCGAAGGCGTGGCCACACATGGAGAGCCAGTGTTACCCTGGCTACCAAGAGGATGCCCAGGAACCACCCTTTCTGCATCGCTCCAGGAACACTTGGAGTCCCCGCCTTGCCCGGTGAAATGTTCTTTTTCTCTTCAACTTCGAGTTCTTGCCCTTTCTCGCTGTCACTACAAGAGTCTCTCTGGCTATTCCCTTCCCAGAGATGATCAGCCCCAGAAAGCCCTGGTGGGGGGGGGGCCCTGTCCAAGCTCATCCCTGACCTCGGAGCTGTGACCAGCCCCATGCCCTTCCCCTCCCAGCCCCTGTGTGTCCTGCGCAGCCAGTGCAGTTGATAGGCAGCTACACCAGAGAAGGCCGCCTCCCGCTTTCAAGTGTACCTGACCTGTCCCCTTTAGGGGCAAGCTCTGTCTTCCTCCCCAAACCAGCACCTAGGACGACCACCGCCCCCCGCCCCAGTCACGGTAGGTGATTCCAAGGGACCTACTCCCCTGCCTTCCAAACTGAGATGGGATCATTCCCCGCCGTCTACCAGAGTAAGCGGACAGGTTCGTCCGGCCTCGGTCCTGAGCCGCCACTGCCCGGCTCCCTCCCGCTTCCTGCTGCCCACTCGGCACTCCCGTCCCCCGGTCGCGCCGAGGACAGCGTGATGACCCGAAACTACTTGTCCTATTGGGCGGTGCGGGCTGGTGACCTGGCCTCGCCTCGCCTCGCGGCACAGGAACCCGGCTCGGGGCGCCTCCATCCCTGGCCTCGGGTCCCCATCAGTAGGAAGCTAGCCCGAGCGCCAGAGGCCCGGGGGGACGCGGGCGGGGAGTCTGGGTTCCGATCTCGTTTTTCAGGGAAAGAAACCGAGCGGAGGGGAGTCCGGGGAGTCCCCCCCCCATCCCCCGCCAGGCACGGCCGCCACCCACCCAGGCCGCCCCACCTGAGACGGTCCGATGAAGTCATCCAGGTCTGTCAGCTGCAGCACCCCGCTGAAGGGCGACGCCATGGCGGCCGTACTGCTGCTGGGCGCGGGGCGCCAACGTCGCCAAGCGGCGCGAAACTGCGGGACTGTTCCGCCACGCTGCCGGAAAGCGACCCGCCTGGCGCATGCGCATCCGCGTCCCCCCGGGCCGCGCGCCCCCTGCCGGCGGGGCCCGTGCCGCGGGGGAGCGTGTCACCTTCCCGGCCTTCTGAGCGTGGGCGGAGGGGCCGCCAGGACCACAGTGTTGCCTCCCTCACCCAGGGCTCACTGCCGGCGGGATATGCGGCCCTGAGTCCTTGCCCTGGGAGCTTGCTTGCAGAGGCAGCGGCCTTGCTATACTTGGTCGCAGAGGCGCTCGAGACCCCAGAAGGGCGCCTGCCGCGCCCCTGGGCGTGCAGTTCCTGTTGCAGAGCGAGGGAAATGGAAGTGACAGGGCGGGCAGCGCTCCCCACAACTCGGCGGCTCCGTGCGGAGCTTCTCTCACGGGCTCCGACACCCTCTTCTGTCATTTTGGAGACCAGCTTGGGAAAGCGCCGTTTCCCTGTAAGGTTTGGTAGCGCGACGCGGGACTGCTGCTGGCCAGGCTCGGGCCCTGGGCCGTTATAAATCGTGTCGAGTCCAGTTTTATTGTCACTACTGACCCCTTTTTAGTGGGGCTTTCCAGACACCTGCAGGAGTTGAGTCTGGCACGTCCCGGTGTTCATCTCGTGTTTCTGAGGGCCCAGCCCGGACTGTGCTCCCAGTCTCCTTGCAGTACTTAGCCCAGTGTGGACTTGAGTGCTGCTGACTCCCACACCTGCCTGTGGGTTTTCGTCGAGGCCCAGGGACCCAAGGTCCACCGGCGGGGGCAGCGTCCTGGGGCCCCTGCAGCTGCTCCTCTTGGCTGCCAAGACAGGACTTTCTTCTACAACAGCTGGGGCAGGCTTTCCGTAGCACCTACGGGAGCTCCGCTTCCAGGCCCCCAGGCGCCACCCGTCCCCTGTCCCGACAATACCTGACCGAGGTCTGAGACACGGTTCCTGAAATCTGAACAATCCTAAGTGATTCTTAGAAGTGGGCGAGCCCCAACCAACCTTAGTTTCACCGAAATGCCCCAGAGTAGGTTTACAAAAGACTTGTGAGAGTAACAATGGCATTGAGATGGGGGCCAGGAATGAGGGCCCATTAGGAGTGGTGGAGAGGATTTACACGGGAGGGGCCCTGGCTGAGGCTGGGGGGACAGGGAGGGTTCTCCCGACGCCGGGAAGGGGGGCTGCAGCCCGTAGGTGTGCAGAGCCGGGGTCCCTGCAGGGCGGGCTTCCTGCCTCCTTCCCCTGGAACCCAAGTCTGTGGGAGCGAACCAAGTGGAGCAAAGGGTCGGGGTGGACGAAAGTGGAAGAGCCCACGCGTCCATTGGCAGATGAGTGGGTAGACGGACGAGGACTCAGCTGTAAAGCCGTGTAGATGAGCCCTGGTGACATGATGCTCGGCGAGAGAAGCCACTCAAAAGGCCACCTATCGTAGGATTCCATTTCTATGAAGCCCGTGAAATAGGCAACTCCACAGGGACGTTAAGTAGATTGGAGGTTGCCAGGGTCCCGGAGGAGGCTTCAGGGTGAGGTGATGAGGAAGTTTTGGAAAGCAAGGTAATCTTTGCACGACACTGTAACTAATGCCACTTAAAAAGGGTTGCTATGGCAACTTTTGTTGTAGGTATGTTACCACAATTTGAAAACTACTAATGTAATATGTCAAAAATCACAGAACTGCACCCTTTAAGTGGGCAGATTGTATGGCATGTGCATCTACATCTCAATAAAACTGGCTGCCCCAGGGTAGCTTCAAGAAGTCCGGACGCCGAGCGCACCCAGGTTGGCCTAGCATCAAACCATCGGTCCCAGCGTCCCCGTGCCGTGCCTGGGCGACGGTTTCTGGTTCAGAAAACCTGACTGGGGATCTCTGATATCACCCACACCCTCACACAACAAGGGCCCCTCGAGGGTCTTTTACTCAATCACAGCCCCGTCCCTGGAGACCTGGGGCTCTTGAGCAGACGCTGCGTGCACCTCCTCTGTGCACCTGCTCTCACACCTGCAGATTCTTTCATCATCATTAGTATTTACTGCACGCTTCCCGTGTGCCGGGGTTTATACACGTGGGGGAAACTGAGGGCCAGCTGAGGACTTGAGAGGCCTTGGGCCCCATAGCCAGCCTGGGCAGCGGCCGCGATGCTGTGCCTGGGTGTCGGCACCCCTCTCCCTGAGTTGGGACAGGTACAGAGCTTGGCCTCTGCTCTGGATGTGTCCCCAGGACCCCCTTTGCCCAAAGCTGGCCACCAGATCTTTGGGTGGGAGCAGACGCACATCAGAGTTTCACCGTCTGAGGAACCCGCCTGACGTTAGTATCCAGGCAGCTACAACAAAGGACCACGACTGGGGGGTTTAGAACGACAGAAGTTTATTCTCTTAGTTTTTTTCTTTCTTTCTTTTTGACATGTTTATTTATTGTGTGTATGAGAGAGAGAATCCCAAGAAGGCTCCGTGCTGTGAGCACGGAGCCCGACGCGGAGCTCGATCCCACGAACTGTGAGATCATGACCTGAGCTGAGATCAGAGCTGGTCGCTTGTCGACCTCTTTGGGCCGTGGACCTGGGGCGGTGAAAGAGCCGAGAAAAAGACGAGGTATAGCGAGGCACAGGGGACCCCGAGCCAACCGCCCGAGGCCCTGAGGTTTATTGTACATCTTCTTTTATACTTTTACAGAGCTACAGATCCACGACGATTAACTGTAGAAGGTTAGTAAGGCGTGACAACAAAGTACATGTGGTTCAGCTAAAGCACAAAGGTACGTTGCCGTTGCGTGCAAAGGCTTTCTTGCAGATACATCGGATATGATAGGAATCTTTATGGCAGGATCAGAAACAAAGAGGGGAGTGAACACGCTGTGTTATTTACAGCTGGCTTCCTTTAAGCAAAACATCCTCGTCTGCCTACTAGAGAACAGGCCACATTTCCCGAGGGCATTTCGCTCCATTCCTTTCGCCTTATTTTTAACCCTATGATCTCCAGCTTTCTCAGAGATCTTGGAGCCTGAACGAATATGCCCCTGTGGTTATTGTGGTGTTCTGTTTCCCACAGTCGCTCAACCGACTGAGCCCCGCAGGCGTCCCCACGCTCTCAGTTCTTGAGGCCAGAAGTCTGAGGCCAAGGTGTCAGCAGGCCCAGCTCCTGGTGGCCCTGGGGAGCCCTGGGCACAAGACAGCATCTCCCCAGCATCTGCCTCATCAGCACGTGGACCCTGTGTGTCTTCTCCTGACACTTGTCACTGGATTCAGGGCCCAACCTACCTCCCAGCATGATATCATCTCGAAACCCTCAGCTTAACCCTCAGCAAGGACCCGATTTCCAAGCGAGGCCCCATTTACGGGTTTGGGGCACATGTTATTTGGGGGGCACTGTTCAACCCGCCAGAGCCCTCATGTCCAACTTTTGTGGGACCCTCAAGGGTCAGAGGACAGCTGCATAACGTGACGCATCTCACAGGTCATATGACTGCGCTGGCCCTGGGGTGCGAGGCTGGGGCGGACCACGCCTGCTGTGCTGCAAAGCCAGGGTTGGTCCCGCAGGGTCTTGGAGGGGCGGGGAGAGACAGCCTGTGTGCTGTAGGAATACATCCACCTAGGGTCAGGAAAAGTAAACGGCCTTTGTCTTTTCCAAAAAAATTTTAGGGGCCCCTGGCTGGCTCAGAAGAGCGTGCAACTCTTAATCTCGGGTTTGTGAGTTTGAGCCCCATGTTGGGTGTGGAGGTTGTCTAAATAAACACTTAAATTTTTTTTTTAACTTTCTCTTAAAATGTAATTTCAAAACACTACCTTCTCCAGGGTTACTGTTTTGTGCATCAAGGCCCCCCAAGATGTCGGAAAGGAGAAGTGGGGTCCGCTCCCCCTTCTCCGCATGGCTGTAGGAGGAGCGTGTGCCCAGGGGCGGCCTGTGTGCTTGTGCTGTCCGTCAGCCCACCGGACCCACCGGGACACTTGTGGCTGGTGCAGAGGCCCTGGCGTCCTCATCGGGCACCGGGGTGGGGAGGGGCAAACAGGGCCCACGGAGGGGCTCCCTGTACAGCGGAGCCCCTGCCTGGTAGGGAGGGGGGTCAGGTAGAACGAGGCCGGCCTCCCACCCAAACAAGTGGTTCTGGCCTTTGGAACCTGCTCTCGTGCTTTTTGTGAACTGGGGACTATTTTGTTTGTGGGCCTGGGTGGCCACTGAGGGGTCTCCTTCCCACGTGAGGGCCTTCGTGCTCAGGAGTTTCTGAGTAAATCAGCCCAGGTCCCTGAGGATCATGGCTCTCCTGCCCTGTCTCGGTGGGTGTGGGGGCACAGCCTTCCAGGCCAGTCCCTGCAAACCTTCCACTCACCTGGGAGGCTCTCTGGGCCCTGGGCTGGGGTGTGAGGAGGGAGGGTAAAGGAAGAGCCCACTCGGGGAGGGTCTGCGTCAGGGTGGGACCCAGCGCCCCTTATGCTCAGAATCGAGAGAGAAAGCAGTCTCTCTTAGCACACGCAGGTGCTGCGGGCAGTTCGTCCAGTGCTTGGATCGGGACACTTCCCTGGTGGCCCGAGGTGTCCCGTTCGGAGCCCACCAGCCCTCCCCACCCTCAGGTGCACGCCGGGCTCCTCGTGAAGCCAGAAGTGTCCCTAGGCTGAGCAGACACAGCGTTTTATTTGTTGAAGGAAATTACCGTGGGCAATGAACACATCATTAGCGGCATAATCAGCACACGCGCCTTCCCGCTGGGGACGCCACATCTTGTCAACAGGTGTAATCTGGCAACAGCCCGGGGAGGCCGGAACGGGCTGCAATTAGTAGCTAATGAGGACGCCTGCCTGCCATGACCTGTTCCTCCTCAGGAGAGACCGGTGTGGGCCTGAGGGGGGAGGGTCACACAGAGAGCGCTGGGGCTCCCAGGGTCCTGCCTGCACACCCACCCGGCGCAGGAAGCAGCAGAAAGAGCTGGTCGGCCACACGGCCTCACTGCTGCACACGTGTCCCTAGGTCTGGGAGGTTGGCTCCGCTTCAGCCCTGGACGCCGAAGCCGTCTCAGTGGGGACGCGCCGGCAGGAAGCCCCCTTTGCCTGACCAGGTGCCAGAAGGAGAGCGCCAGGAAGGCCCCGGGACATGGCCGGCCACTTTCTGTGGCTGGGCCTCTGGGCTGTGGCCTAGGAAGTGCGGCCGGGGGCACAGTCCACTCTCAGAGGGCGCGCCTGAGGCTGGTCAGGCTTCGAGGCATGCAGGTCGGAGCGGGAGCGGGTGGGGAGAGCGAGGAGACTCTCTGGGGGTGGGTTGTGGGGCTCGTTTGTGGCACTCTCCCCCTGGCCCTGAGCTGCCTCTGCGTCTGCACTTTGTACTCAGCCCCCCAAGTCGTCAAGGGGGCCATCTGGGGTGTCTGGAGGCCAAGCTGAGACTGCTGGGTGGCGCGGGGCCCCCTCAGGAGCCCCCAGGCCTCCGGGCCCACGCACCCTTGGTGCTCACGTGCTTCGGCTCTGCAGCCCACCCGGCAGTCCCTCCACGTGTTGTACCTGCAGCCCCCTCGGCCATTGCCGGCCACACCCATGCTCACGGCGGGCTGACCAGTCCAGGAACCCCTGGTCGGGTGAAGGGGCTCCCACTGGCCTGGCCCTGTGAAGATGACCGGCTCAGAGGCGGGCAGGGCCACCCATCCAGACCTCCCTGGGGTCGGGGATCACACACAGGTCCGTGTTCACATCTGGCCCATCGGCAGCACCAGGTTGGTCCTCTGGGGCGCCTTCTTTTGGGGGACGTGGGCATTTTCCCCACCCTGTTGCCACATCTGAGCTCCCTCCTAACTCATCTCTGTGCCCCCCCACCGTCCCTGGCCGTCCCTGGCCGTGGCCCCTCTGATGCTGCCCTGCCGGCCACCCTCACCTAGCCCCCATGGCCCCGGGAGGACCCCTCCCCAGCACCTTCCAAGGTGTTCCATGGAGCTCCGGGTGGGGCCGGCTCGGACAGCACCCCCCGGGATAGCTCAGGGGGCTTGACCAGCACAGTGACTGGAGGACCAGGAACCTGGAAGCCCACTTGGTTTTCTCTGTGTGAGGTTTGTATTGGTTCGTGAGGTCAGACCTGGCCCACTGCCTGTGGGCGGGTGACCCCGTGCTTTGGGCCTCGGAGCCGAGCCCTGAGACGTCTCAGCTCTTGACGTTTCGGCACTCTTCAGCAGACCCATCCCAGGCTCCCTTCCCTCCTGCCCTGCCAGTCTCCGCTGGGGACACGGCCTCCAGCTCACCTGGGCTGTAGCAGCTGGGAGTAGGGGGCGAGTCCCCCACACTCCGTAGAAGATGAGGTCTTTCTTGTGCTGGGGGCACTGGGAGGGAGGAGCCCACTGCCTTGGTATAGATGGGGTAGGGGAGCCACTCTGCAGAACAGAAGGGCTCACGGCAAGGTCCACTCCACCACTGCCCGGACGACGCTCTTCTGTGGCTGTGACCTGGGAGAGCCGCGGCTCGATTCCCCGAGGTCCCGGCTCGTCTCTTCATCTCAGCCTCATTTTCCCTTCTGTGGTGGCACGGAGGAAGTGACCTGGGGCCACCTCCACCCTGGGCAGCCCTGGCTTCCCCGTGTACCTTAGGGTCCTTGTCATCCCAATCCGGACCACTGCTCCCAGAGGTCACCCTGACTGCAGGAGGCCCTGGGAGATGGGGATGTGTCGAAGCCAGAGAACAGTGAGCAAGCACTTTCACCCTCTGATGGCCAGGTGAGCCAGCTCCTGCCAGAGCCCGGTCACTCGCCCTTGGAAGCTGTCCTGACGTGCGGTAGGGTCCTGGTGGGTGGCCAGGGGTCTGAGGAAGGGACCAGACCTGGAGTCGGTGGGGCCAAGTAGGCCACAGGCCAAGTCTGGTGGGGAGGGGAAACAGGTCACCCCAGATGCCCTGGCTGCAGTGGCTTCAGAGCAGGCCCAGGACACCTGCCACGTGGAGGCCAGAGGCCAGTCTTGACAGACCCGGGGAGCTCCACAGAGAGCTGGTCCAAGGCCTGGTCCACGGTCAGCTCCTGGGTGATGGTGCCTGAGGCCATGAAGGAGGTGGCCAGCTGGGCTGGAGGGCCTATCCGGGACCTGGGCCTGGATGTGGGCATTGCCCATCAGCTTGGCTGTCAGGGAGGCACCTGTCCCACTCCAAAGCCCAGCTGGCTTCGCTCCTCCCTCCCCGTGCTCGAGCCACCGAGCCTCCGGTCCCGACATAGCAGGTGCTCGGTCAGAAAGACGCAGTCTCCCTGGAGCACGTGGCCACGTCTGAGCATGAGGGTCCCTGCGGGCATGTCCTCAGCCCACACAGTGGTTCAGCTCCCTGCGGGGGAGGCAAGTTCTGCCCATCTGCTCCTAGTGACCGCCCAGGGACCCGAACAGTGCTGGGGTGGGGGGTCAGAGAGTGCGGGTAGCCCTGCGTGCTGCTGACCCTCACCCCCAGATGCCTTGCACGCCAGGGGGGTTCTGCAGAGGCCACTGGTGCTGTGGGGAGCCAGCACCAGGAGCAGCTGGAAGACACCGTCACGGCCCCTCACTCGGGGGTTGGGGCACAGGGGTGGGGTCACTGCCCAGGCGCCCCCTACCCGACTCAGCACCGGGGCCACCCACCCCCACCTTTTCCTACATCTGCTGGAAGGCATCACGGAAGACATCCCCCCGGAGCAGGGCCAGGATGGCACCAGCCGTGGCCAGCAGGAAGGGCAGCAGGTGAGTCTGGAACCAGAGCGTGATGTCCTGGCTGTGCTGGCCCTGGAGGCCAGGTCCCATGTGGCAGCAGGGGAGGTCCAGGGGGAGGTGGCCGGGGCAACGCTCGTTCACCGGGCCTGAGGAACAGGGGTCAGCTGGGCAAGGGGCAGTTCCATCTCCCCTGTGCCCTCTGACCCAGGACACCACTCACAGATGCCAGCGGGCCTGCAAAGCAAGCCCGGGAGTGTCTGGGCGGGGCTGGCCCTCGTCTCGGCCAGTGGAGCCAGCTGGGTCAGGGTCAGCAGGGCCCAAGTAGAGACCTGGGGTCAGCCCCAGGATTGCCCCCTCTCCCTGATACTGTTGTGCCATTCTGGGTCCCCACATCTAGCTGTGTGTGAGCTTCCTCTGCTCCTCTGAGAAGGCATCAAGGTCGTATCCAGGCAAATTATGTTGGGGGAGGGCTGATGGTCAGGGGGAGGCTCCGGGAGCCCAGCAGGCTATCCCAGTACCACGGTGGCCCGTGGGGACACTCACAGGTTCCACTGGGCCTCATCGCCCAGGGCTTGGGGTGGAGGCAGCAGCAGGCAGGTGGGCATTCAGGTCAAAGTTGGTCCTGGCCCACTCCCCCCTCCCTGGAACCTGGCCCATGTCCTCCACCCTTGGACGAAGCAGTCCCAGCTCTGCCCACAGCCCTGCCCCTGTTGGGAGCATGCACGTGGGCCTCCACTGAGAGTAGTAAGTGAACTGGGACAGGAGTCACCGAAGCCTGGAAGAGGGTCAGTGGCCCTTGGAACCCGTCCTTGAGTTCAGTGATCGCCATGGTGTGAGCTCTGGCCCCAGGCAGTGGACCACAGCCTCCAGGACGATGGTGTGGATTCGTGAGAGGGGGTGGCGGGAGGGCTGGGCAGGGCCCGACCGGAACAGATCCTCTGGTGACGTCTCTCCAGCCCCTGCAGCCCACCTGGGAAGCCACAACATACAAGAAGCCCCCAGGCCTGGCTGACGCAGAGTGTGGTGCTGGCAGCCTCAGCCCTGGCCCTCGCGGACACCCCCGGAATGTCCCAAGAAGACGAGTGGCCACCTAGCTGGTGGCCGTGAGCAGGTCTATAGCTGTGAGCAGAGGTGAGGCTCAGCAGGGCAGGGGACATCAGCCGGGTGAATAGCCGCAGCCCCACCACCCACACGTCTGCCTCAGGCCAGCTGGGCTGGGTCACTGGTTCCTGTGGCTGCAGTCCCCATGGCCTCAGGGACACAGCGGCAAAGGGAAACATCCCTGGCCACCTACCGGACCTGGCCAGTTCTGGGGGGCAGGAAGGGGCCCTCTCGTTTCCTTGAGGCTGGGGCCCAGCTGCAGGCATGCAGCCACCCCCGGCAAGTGCCGCCCGGCAAAGCGGGAAACCGAGGCCCTGGAACCTGCTCGCAGGGCAGTGGCTGAGCGAGAATGTCGCCCCGGGGGTGCCAGACACCGGAACCGTCCCCACACTCCTCTCTCAAAGCCGAGAGACCTGACTCTTACGTGGGCTCTGGTCAGTCATCGGACCTCTCTGGCCCTCAGTTTCCTTCTCTGTAAAAAGGTAAAAAGCCATCTGCAGTGGGTCTTCATTCACAGAATGAATATTCTGCTCTACACTGGCGTCAGGGCGGAAACAGGGGCTCAGGGAGAAAGGGGCTGACCTCTCAGAGTCAGGAAGACTGCCAGCCGACGAAGGCTTCCTGGAAGAGGCCACCTGGTGCAGAGACCCGTGGCAGGTCTGCTCCAGGCTCCAGGCCAGCCTACTCTGGTTCTTTTTGTTATTTTGCCCACACTGGGGAACAGGTGTTTCGAGAAACCGGACTGGAGACAGCCTACTGAACTCGGGGCACGGACCCTGCCGTGCCGGGACGTGGGTCCTGCCGGGGAACCTGGCCGCCCACCCTTGGACTCATGGAGATGATCAGATTAGACGGAAGTGCGTCCACACCAGAGATCAAACCAGGAGTGACTGTTCATCCGACTCCTTAGCCGTGACTGGATGCCCTCCCTGATGAGGAACAGATTGAGTCCTGTGAACGGGAGAAAAAAGGCCTTTTGTGCAGAATCAGCAGCCCCACATTTGTTTTGTTCACCCAGAGAGTGACAAGGCCAGCAATAGCCTGGGGGCAACGCCTGACAGAGAGGAAGGACAAACGGAGGTCGTGCACGAGGAAAGAGCAAGCCAGCTGCACGCCTGAGCGCAACTTGCAAAACGCGGAGCTGAGCCGCGCTGGGAGGAGACCGGAAAGGAAGGCTCATCCAGGTTGCCAGGGTGGGGGGGTGGGAGCTTCGTTCCAGGTGTCCGCCGTCGGGCCGTCCCTCACATGGTCACCAACACCGGTTACCCCCCACCTTTCTAATTTTGTCCGTCTCCTTGCTTGACTTGGAATCTCTGGGGTCACAGGGGCTCCCGTCCTCCCCCGTTCTAGGTACTCACTGAGCCTCCGGCACTTCTAGGCTTCGGCTGTCCCTCTGCTTGTTTGACGCCTGCCTGCTAACTGCCAATTGTTTGTGGATCAGGAATCCTTCATTCTGGTGAAGTCAGACTCACCCACATTCAGCAGGTAGTTTCTGTTTGGATCTTGGCATCTTTCGCAACTCCTCAGTCCAGGCCCTTCTATGTGCCTAGAGTGTTCTCTGCCGTACGCAGGTCTTACTGAATTTGGCACCCAGCTTGTCCGCCATGCGGGCAAGGGGCCTCATTTCCCTGCCCCACCTGTCCCACGGACTGTCCCTTTCCCCGCCATTGCTGGTAGCAGTCCCTGCGTGCACACGGGGGCATTTTGCGTCGTCTCGTGCCTGCCCCCGCTGTCTGTTCCTAACTTCATTACGTGCGCCTTTGTCTTAGTATCCAGGAACTTGTCTCTTCTTACGTCACGGATATTTTTTCTCTTTATTTTTAAAATAAAATCGTTACATTCCTGAAAAAAAAAACAAAAACCTTGTATTTTAATTTTTAATAGGATTGAATCGATTGGGGCGCCTGGGTGGCTCAGTCGGTTGAGCGTCCAACTTCAGCTGAGGTCATGATCTCGCGGTCTGTGAGTTCGAGCCCCGGGTCGGGCTCTGGGCTGACAGCTCAGAGCCTGCAGCCTGTTTCAGATTCTGTGTCTCCCTCTCTCTCTGCCCCTCCCCCACTCATGCTCTGTCTCTCTGTCTCTGTCAAAAATAAATAAACATTAAAAATTTAAAAAAAAAATAGGATCCAATTGTACAGAACAATTTTAGGAGCACTGATAGCGTTATCCTGCTGGGTTGTTCTCTGCATTACTAGGCTGATTCCTAGAGACTTTGTGGATCTCATCGTTATTAGAAAGGATTACTTTTCTACTAAGTTTGTTATTATTGCTGATGTGAATGAACGCTGTTGATGTTTTATGGTTGTGAAATATACATAAAACTTACTCTTTTAATCACCTTTAAGCGTACGATTTGGTGGTATTAGGTACACTCACAATGCTGTGTACCCACCACCACCGTCAACTTCCAGCCGAACTTTTTATGAAACGGACATTCTGCACTCTTTAAACAGTGATTCCCGGGGCGCCTGGGTGGCGCAGTCGGTTAAGCGTCCGACTTCAGCCAGGTCACGATCTCGCAGTCCGTGAGTTCGAGCCCTGCGTCGGGCTCTGGGCTGATGGCTCAGAACCTGGAGCCTGTTTCCGATTCTGCGTCTCCCTCTCTCTCTGCCCCTCCCCCGTTCATGCTCTGACTCTCTCTGTCCCAAAAATAAATAAACGTTGATAAAGTGCACCATCCAAAGAGCCTTGGCACGTACACACCCATGAAGCCACCACCGCAACCAGGATGCGGAACGTCTCCACTGCACTTTTGTGTTCGTTACTCCCTGTTGAACAGGAATCCCTAACCTGGGGGCAGCTGCCTGGCTGAAGGCAGCCGCGGATTTGCTTTTTGTTATAATAGATGAGCTTGCATTTTAAAGTTTTTACAAAGATTTTATATTCTCTCTGCCCTCTGCTTCTTCACTCAGCATGATCTTGAAACTCATCGTTTCTTCACGTGTCAGTGCCTTGTTCCTCCTTGTTGCCAGATGGACAGACCACATTTAGTCTGTCCGTTCATCTATTGGTGGAAAATTGCTTTTCCCCATTTTTGGCTACTGTGAATAGAGCTACTGTGACTGTTCTTTGCGTGGATGTACATTCTCATTTCTCTGGAGCCATTACTTAAGAGTGGAGTGACCAAATCGCGCAGTGAGGTGTATGTCTAACGTCTTAAGACAACGCCAGATGAGGGGCGCCTGGGTGGCTCAGTCGGTTGGGCAACCGACTTCGGCTCAGGTCATGATGTCGCAGTTCGTGAGTTCGAGCCCCGCGTCGGGCTCTGGGCTGACGGCTCGGAGCCTGGAGCTTGCTTCGGATTCGGTGTCTCCCCCCAAAAAAGAAAAGGAAACGCCAGACGAAAGTGACGGCATTGGCATGCGCGTCCACCAGCAGCGTGTGACCGTTCGGCTGCTCCGTATGCCTGCCAACGCTCAGCGCTGTCAGTCCCTTCCAACTGACTCGCTCAGGTGGGCGAGTGTCACACGGATTTGATTTGCGTTTCCCTGGGCGGTGGGTGATGTCGGACCACTGTTGTTGTCCCCACACGTTCCAGGTGTGTTGACTGGCCATTCACACACCTTTTGTGAAGTGTCTGTTCAAATCCTTAGCCTCTTTAAGTGATCGATCTATGTTTTAAGTGCAGTGGAGTTAACATACAGCGTGATGTCAGTTTCGCACACGCGGTACAGTGATCCAACGATCCCACATGTCACCTGCTACCCATCATGATGAGTGGGCTCTTCACCCCCAGCACCAACTTCCGCCACCCGCTCTGGTAACCGTCAGTGTGTTCTCTGTAGTTGAGAGTCTGTTTCTTAGTTTGTCTCTCTTTCTTCCCCCTTCATTTGTTTGGTTTCTTTTTTTTTTTTTTAATTATTTATTTTGAGAGAGAGAGCATGAGCCAGGGGAGGGGCAGAGAGAGAGAGGAAGAGAGAGAACCCGAAGCAGGCCCTGAGCTGTCAGCACAGAGCCTCATGTGGGGCTTGAACTCACAAATGGAGAGATCATGACCTGAGCTGAAATCAAGAGTCAGATGCGTAACCGACGGAGCCCCCAGGCGCCCCCATTTGTTTCGTTTCTTAAATTGCACGTATGAGTAAAGTCACATGGTATTTGTCTTTGTCCAACTGACTGTTTCACTCAGAGCATCATACCCTCTAGCTCTATAGCCCTGTCCATTTGTTGCAAATGGTAAGATCTCGTATTTTTTTTTAAATGGCTGAGCAATATTCCATTCTCTATATACACCACTTCTTCTTGTAAAAAAATTTGTTTATTTGTTTTTGAGAGGGAGAGCGAGCACGCACAAGTGGGGCAGGGGCAGAGAGAGGGAGACACAGAATCCGAAGCAGGCTCCAGGCTCTGAGCTGTCAGCACAGAGTCCCACGAGGGGCTCGAACTCACGAAATGCAAGATCATGACCTGAGCCAAAGTAGGACGCTTAACCGACTGAGCCCCCCAGGCGCCCCTACACCACCTGTTTTTTATCCATTCATCTATCGATGGCCATTTGGGCCACTTCCATAATTTCGCTATTGTAAATAATGCTGCAGTGAACATTGGGGTGCAGCACGTATCCTTTTTAATTAGTGTTCTTGTATTCTTTGGGTAAATACCCAGTAGTGTGATTACTGAACTGGGGGTATTCTATTTTTTTTTAATGTTTATTTATTATTTTTGAGAGAGAGTGTGAGCAGGGGAGGGGCAGAGAGGGGGGCAGAGGATATGAAGCGGGCTCTGTGCTGACAGCAGCGAGCCAGATGTGGGGCTAGAACTCATGTACGGTGAGATCATGACTCAAGGCAAAGTTGGACTCTCAACCGACCGAGCCACCCAGATGCCCCCCCGGGGGGGGGGTAGTTCTATTTTTAACTTTTTGAGGAGCCTCCATACTGGTCTCCACACTGGCTGCACTGGTTTGTATTCCCACCAGCAGTGCAAGAGGGTTCCCCTTTCTCAACATCCTCGACAGCACTGTTGTTTCTCATGTTGTTGAGTCTAGCCATTCTGACAGGTGTGAGGTGGTCCCTCACTGGAGTTCTGATTTGCATTTCCCTGATGATCAGGGATGTTGAGCGTCTTTTTATGTGTCTGGAGGCCATCTGGGTGTCTTTGGAAAAATGTTCATGTCTTTGCCCAATTTTTAATTGGATTATTTGGTTTTCTGGAATTGAGTTGTATCAGTTCTTTATGTATTTTGGGTACTAACTCCTTATCGGATATGTAACTTGCAACAATCTTCTTCCATTCAGTTGGTTGCCTTTTAGTTTTGTTGATTGTTTCCTTTGCTGTGCAGAAGCATTTTATCTTGATGAGGTCCCAAAAGTTTATTTTTGTTTTTGTTTCCCTTGCCTCAGGAGACATGTCTAGAAAGAAGTTGTTACAGCCCATGTCAGATAAGTTACTGCCTGTGTTCTCTTCTAAAGGACTTTTATGGTTTCAGGTCTCACATTTAGATCTCTCATCCATTTTGAGTTTATTTTTGTGTGTGATGTAAGAAAGTGGTTCAATTTCTCTCTTTTGCATGTCGCTGTCCAGTTGTCCCATCTCCGTTTGTTGAACAGATGGTCCTTTTCCTACCGGATATTCTTGCCTTGGCCTGTTTTTTATTTTGTTTTGTTTTATTCTGTTCTACTCTAGTCTATTTTTTTTTTAATTTTTTTTCAACGTTTATTTATTTTTGGGACAGAGAGAGACAGAGCATGAACGGGGGAAGGGCAGAGAGAGAGGGAGACACAGAATCGGAAACAGGCTCCAGGCTCCGAGCCATCAGCCCAGAGCCTGACGCGGGGCTCGAACTCACAGACCGCGAGATCATGACCTGGCTGAAGTCGGACGCTTAACCGACTGCGCCACCCAGGCGCCCCATACTTTAGTCTATTTTTAAATGCTTGTTTATTTGAGAGAGAGAGAGTGAGCATGAGCAGGGGGGAGAGGCAGAGAGAGAGGGAGACAGAGAATCCCAAGAAGGTTCCACACTGTCAGTGCAGACCCCAATGCGGGGCTTGAACTCACGAACTGTGAGATCATAACCTGAGCCGAAATCAAGAGTCAGATGCTTAACCAACTGAGGCACCCAGGTGCCCCGGCCTATTTTTAAAACATAGCTTTATTGAGATATAATACCCATTTAAAGTGTACAATCCACTGTTTGTTGTATTCACTGTGAAGAACTTCCTTTAACCTAAATTATCGAACACTGAATTGCTTTGCAATTTAATTTTTGCTTCAGACTTGATCATGTCTCTTAATGATTTTAGCCTCAAATTACAAGGGAAAGAAGTACTTGTATGTGAAACATACACACGTTACTGCCATCTCAACCAATGACGTTATGTGAATCGCAAGGACGCGGGTCACATGCTTCCCATGCTGTCTAAGCTGAAACGAGAAGCGGGCTCCCCACTCCTCTGTGCATCGGCAGCAGCTGTATGTTTTGAGTTCAAACTACAGCTCCTCAGTGTTCTCGCAAAGGAAATTTCCACATTTCAAAACCCATTTAACCGTGCAACTGAGGAGCTCCTACCTGACTCTCAATTGGAAGTGATTAATCTTGTTATTAAGCTCATCCTGTGGATTTTAAAATTCCAAATCGCGTGTTTGCCATTTCTAAAACTTGGTTATATGCGTGTGTGTGTGTGTGTGTGTGTGTGTGTGTGTGTGTGTATCCTACATCTCCATTCATGAAAGCCTATTTTCCATTACTCAGTTGAGTATAGTTGTAATAGCTGCTTTAACAATTTTATTTATTTATTTATTTATTTATTTATTTATTTATTTATTTATTTATTTATTTTTGAGAGAGAGAGCATGAGCCGGGGCGCAGCAGAGAGAGAGGGAGACACAGAATCCAAAGCAGGCTCCATGCTC